AGAACAGGGAGATATAAAAATTTCAAATCCATCGTAAGTTCATGTATGGATCCAAATATTGACCATTTAAACAGACTGGTGAAAAGAGAGTCACATGTTCTCTCGAGGAAATAATATTGAGACGAATGAGTAGGGTAACCAGAGGGTAAAGATAGGAAATGATCATATTTTTACTTGTTCTTGCAGCGACTTGAGCAGGTCCACCACTTTGTCCTGCAGCTCCATGGGCATGGGGTGCACGAACTTGCTGCCGTCGGGGTGCAGGATCTCCAGGCCGTGGTTACCGGCGTACGTTATACCTTCTATCCCCACCTGGAACAAACACAATCACTATTTACTTTTCACCTTTCAGACGTTAAATATAAACTTATATCAATTGTGAAATTGTCGGTTATTTCGCAGCCAATTCAACTATTTAGTTGCACAACTAAAAATCGAATAATGTGTGCTCCATATAAGCTCATAGGAATCAAAGCGAGTAAACAGTTGTGCGATAGTTTAATCAAAGGTGTGCTCGCGCTCTTAACATTGTTAATAACGCCATCTACTTTGAAAGTTATGTTTATAAACTACATTTTATCAATATAAGCGTAGTCATTGGCATCAATATTTATAATAATAAATCTTACTCGGGCACCGCATGAGCTGATAAACCTTCAACTCGTATAAATCAAACATAAAACGTATATGAAAAATATTCGTATAAGGACATGTAAACAGTAAACATTGCGACACAGTTTTTATCGACCCTGGAATTGTTGACTGCGACTGTCAAATGATAATTATATTCATGCGGGACACATCAAACATTCTTCAATTTTATACAACAGTGAATTTCCATTGTCGAAACACTTGTGTCGAAACATTTTATCATTAACTAGCTATTTGCTCGCAACTTCCCCGCGTGAAATTAAAACATTATAAACAATACAGCTAGCCTATGTTACTCACAGATAAATTACCTTTCTAGCGATAAAAGAATTTTTAAAATCGGCCCAGTATTTTTTGAGTTATTTGAATACATACAAAAATACAAATCTTTCCTTTCCAATATTAGCAAAGAAATATAGATTGTGACATTTTTACAATGAAAAGTGCGTCATTATTAGAATAGTAGGACAGAGGGTCCGTCATGCAGCGCTACGACCCACCCTTGTACAAACAAGTCAATATTTTTGTTTAAAAACACGCTATCTCCGGTCAGAGTGCGAGACGATATCGCCTTGTTATTGCGAACCTACGTACTACGTACGAGAAATAATTTTGCTTTGTTGATTATATGAAGAAAAATATTTTATGACGTTTTTATTTCGAGGATAATTGTTGTCAATGTTAATTACATTTAATGTAAACAATATTAACATTTACTGCGCAGTGCATTTGGAAAATATATCAAAAGTTTGCGGAATATGAACGCGGTGGCAAATCGGCCTTTGGTTACAAATGGGTTTTCTGAATTGGCGTTATTAAGCCGCGCGTTTGTAAACAATTAAAACCAAATATCGTTCTAAAAGCAGTAAAGTGCAAACAGGTTTTAAATTTCTCCTTTTGCAGTCCTTTTCCTTGACTAGGCGTCGTTAGCAACTAAATTGAATGGAAAATTAAATGATCTCTTGATAGCCTGCAATCGAGCCGCGTCCGCGATAACCGACGAGTCAATATTACGATAACCAGCCGGTTTTTTACGTCAGTCCATTGATATGTTTATATCTAAATGCTTTTGATTACATGTTTATAATGATTGCAATCTTGTGTTTTCATATTTAATCATTTGACCCTCATTATTAACGATTTAGATTGTGCTTAATATAATAATTGGTGCCCGTGTAGAGATGTTGTGGCTACACAAGTCAGGTTTAGCATTAACATTGCAGACTCAACTTACGACATTGTTACTAGCATGCTAGCTGTTAGAGTTTGCCTGTCAGTTTAAAACCGTAACAGAATAGCTAATGCGTAAGGCACTGTTTTTTTTAAATAATTTTGTCAATTTACTAATGTTTCCTTTAACCACTCCAACTAAGCTCTGGGCTTGTGTTTGGATATGGTTCACGACAATAGTCGAATGGCGGGACTCGAAACC